TTCCTGGAGAAACTCAAATTCAACATTAGTAAAACTTAAACTAAATGGAAACCAACATAACTGAAAATAAACAAGATAAGTAGCCATAATAAAGACACCTCTCGGTTCACATAAGATGGCCCAACACACAAAGTGTCTATGTCAGCCCCAGGACCATGCACCTGTCAAAATAGTGACTTGCTGCTTATCATCCAATATCTAAGATATCCAGTTTACTTGTGAAACAGAAAAAAAAAAAAAAAAGAGACAAAAGATAAACATAACACACTAAACAAAATTAACATCAAAGGCACAGCAACAAACAAAGCACGTGCCCTCCAAGAGAACTTAAAAATTTTCACCGAAATAAAGCACAATGAAACCAAAGTATGACAGCTAGATTTTCATCAATGACCAAATACCAAATGACATTTATAAAGGTTACATTTTTCTTTTGCAAACCTAGAGAAATTTATATCCACAGGCTTTTTCTTATCAAATTCAGAAATCCTGCCAGAGGCTAATCGCGTATGCAAAATTTCAAACCAATTTTCTATGATTGCAAAAATTAGAACAAAAATTAATGAAATAGATGTTAATATATAGGAATTAAGAATTCATACTTACCCCTAAACGGTAAGACCCAAAAGTGAAAATGACAGCATTTGCTTCCTCCACCATCTGATCCGTGTAGCCCCTTTGACGAGTTAATTGCTTTACCCAACTTTTTACAATCTACAAGAAACATAATTTTGTCACAACATTTACACATAAAAATCAAGTTTGATAAAACGGCTTATGCAGACATATGAACATGCCAAAGCTTTCTGGAGTGCATTTCTCCTTTATAATTAGTTCACTCTTTCACATCAAAAATCTTTAAAAAAATATGTATTAATTAATAGAAATTCAAGATTTATATGACACTGCAATCACCATAACATGCAAGCCAACTAGGTTCAAATGAACCCACGTTTCCACCTAGGTGTACAGCAAATGAACCAATAGCCCCCAAAACGCGATGTACCAACAACTATAAACATTTTTCTTCATTGTACGGAAACGGGACAAAGCAGAGAAACTCGATAATTCGTTTATTACCTCATTGATATGGCCGAGAACCTCCTCTCTTTTCACAGCTTCTTCTTCGCTCTCGTAAAGCCCTGACTCTATCAAAAACTACAGACAAAAGAAAAAAAAAGTCGTGAATTAAACATCATTGAAAACATGCAATCGTTAAGAAAAAAAGACTAACATTACCTTCTCTAATTCCGTATTCCGTAGAATATCCGCCTCACTTGGCCCAGCGAGGGATATCGGTTTCGTGATTCCGTATTTCTTCAGAGGCTGTGATTGCTGCGGCGAAGATCCGTTAGGGCTCCGAGTATCCATCGGTTTCAGCACTAAAGCAACCAAAAAACGACCCCAAAGACACGCAAGCTTGGATTTAACCAGAAATCGGAACAAATTCAAGCAACCGTGACAAGGAACAAACCGATGTAGCAAATCATAAGTGATCAAATTTAGATTAGAACAAAAATCACGAGCGAAATCAGGGATAATGGAAAACAATGAAAATAAAACATAAAGAAAATTTTTCTTTTTTTTTCTTTTTTGTCCTTTTCAATTTTGAGAAAACAAAAAAGAGAACAAAAACAAAAAACAGATCGAAACCCTAATTCGCTGAAAGGGACGAAAACCGTTCAGTGGATTCAACCGAAGAAGATAAAACACGGAATTTCAAGCAAGAGAGACACAGATCCAAACTCGATTTTGAAGAACAGTGCGCAAAGACAAAAGAGAAGGAGGAAGGGAGGAAAGATCGAGAAAGAGGAGGAAAGGGAGGAGAAAGGGCTTCGCCGTTTCGGTGGGCTAAGCGAGCGTTCGGTAGGGTTTCGTTTTTTCTTTTTTTTTTTCCCCCTTCGTTTAGATGCCTGACTAAATAATTAATTATTGAATTTATGAGATTTATTTTGATTATTTTATGGACAGATGCAGATGTGAACCGGAAGGGGAATTAATTACAGTAAAAAGTACAGTGTTGCACGCGCTTTTCTTTTTCTCAGCAGTTTCGAAGCGAATCTTCAATGAGACTGACCCAAGGAGGAGAATTTGGGATATGCATAAATTCTTTGCTTCTTGAATTCTAACTGATTTTCGGGTTAAAGAGATAAAAAAGTAAAGAGCACATGCCAAAACACCCTGGTGTCCAAAAAAGAAGAGAGCTTTGTTTGGTTCAGAACCGGAAAATGGCGGGTCGGTGCTCCAAAAATCTTTCATATGAATCTTCATTTAATTATTCCCGACCACTAAAGATAAGGTATGCAATAAGATAAAGATTTTCCTCTCCATAAAATGCCTCACCAATATTATGATTTTATCAACCATTCCATCTGTCCAATTCATTGTCTTTATGGTCTTGTCAAGCACAAAAGTCAATGCATTTATTGACTGTGTATTATTTACCATGGAATGCTGTTTTTCCTTGAAATTTTTTTTGTCTATTTTTGTTCATTTTTTTGATGGATTTTTACCCTTAATTAGTAGAAAACAAAATTTAAGTTCCAGTTTTATTCTGGTAGAAAGTAAGGATGCTCACGAATTGGTGGTCAAGCCATGTCTTATTCTTGTTAAGATTTGATATCAAGCCTTAAAGTAACAATTAAGTAGTTTGATAAGGTTTTTTTTTTAATGTTAACTGGTAATGTTAAGTGTTTTTATGATAATTATTAGCAAAATCTTTTTTTAAAGATTTTTCTAATATTTAAATTTGTTGAATTATTTAAAAATTTTAAAATAAATTTTATTTTTTATTACTTTTAATTAAGTATTTATATTTTATTTTCAATAAATTATTTTAATTAATAATTAAATATTATTTATCAAAACTTACTTATCATTTTATACTCATGTGACAATAATATAGAGAGTGAAAATGTCATATTGACATCATCGTCATTCCACATTAACATTATATGTTACCATTTAATATAATATGTTAGTATACTACATACAATATTACGTAATTTAAAATGATAAATGATATTTTAATTAATAAAAATTAAGTATTTGTTAATTATAAATATTCATTTGACTTAAAATAAAAATATAAAAGTTTAACACAATAAAAAATAATGACTTATATGAATTTTTTAAAATAATTTAAAAACTTTTTAAAATATTATGTCAAAATCATGAAAATACTCTAAATGTAAACAAATATGTTAACTTTTGAAATGAAAATATTTTGATAATTTAGTAATGAAATTAAGAAAATAATTTCTTGCAAAATATAACTTAATCACGTTGATGCTAATTAAAAAAACAAATAAATCACAGCATCTTAATATAGAATAATTAAAATCACAAAAAAATAAAATTTATCTAGTACATTTTATACAAATTTTCTCCATATTACGCCATATTATTTCAAACGTATATTCTTATATTTGTTAATCTTTATTTAACTTATTGTTTAAAAAATGACTATTAATTGCATTTTTGTAAATCTAGAAAGAGGATTAAAGGGGATGGTTGATTCGAAACCATTAAATCGTATGTTTAAATAGTTTGAACCATTAATCTTGAAGATGCTAACAAGGCATAACAATTGAGGCTTAAAGCTTGCTTTGCATATTAATATTACTTAACTTTAGCCTATTTACTTCTTTACTCTTAATTATGACCAACCTTGTTTGTTTATTGGGAGGATGACCAATTTTAATTTGTATTTTAATTGTAAATCACAAAAGCGTAGTAGGCAAAAAAAAAAATTGAGGCTTGAAAGGAAAAAAAATGAGGGGTGAAAATTGAAAAGGATATAAATAAAGTATGTTATGTTATTAATATATAGGAATTATATTTCATGTTATATGCGCCTAATATAATACTACTAATATTTTATCAATCCATCACATAAAATTCATATGATCGGTAAGTAGACTTGGCCTGCTGGTCCAACGACTTTCTTTTACTTGGTAAAGAGCTTAACACCAGGCTTAGACATGGGATAAAATCATTAATACTGAGGATAACTTTCTTTTGTTGGGTGCAAACACTGGTAAAACTTTATAAATTGTTTTTATCAAACTCATAAAAGTATAGTAGTTTTTATAAATATATTTAAATTTATATATTTATAAAACAACTTCAAACGTTGTAAAGAAAGTAGACAAAAAATTTCAATTTAAATTGACTAAATAAAAGATTTTGAAATGTTACACACTCAATTAAGTTGACTTTTCGAGAAAAAACAATAGTTTCATGATAAAATCATAGTATAATGGACTCAACCTAAATTCGACCCGTACCAAACACTTTCAAAGCATAGATAAGTAGAATTGTTGGATTAAGTGGGAGATGATTTCACCCCAACAAGCAAATGCTTTAAAGAATCGGATAGACGAGAATATTATGTCAAATGTTTAAAAAATAAAAAAATACTTTAATTTTATTTTAAGTTAAATGTGAATATTAAATATTTTATTAATTTAGTATTTTGAAAAAAATAATAATGGTTACGTGAATTTCACTATATCAACAAATACTATTTCATTTAGTAAATACTATTACATTTGTTATTTTATATCCATTTTACTACTCGAAAGAAAAATAAAATTTAAATTTATCATCTTAAACACTTTTTTTTTTTTATGAAATACTTGTTTCCAATACTTAAGAAGGAGTAGAATCATTGAATAATTGTTTTGCCCACAAATACTTTTAATACTTAGATAAAATTGAATTTAAAAAAAGGGTATTTCTGTATAGTTTTGTTTCCAGTAATAATACTGGTATATTCCATGGTTTGGGTTTCGTCAGCATGATAAGAAAAATCGAATAACGCACACCAGCATCGCATATGCTGAACGAGCTGACTCAGCAGTCAGCGGTCAACAGCAATTTTCTGGGATTAAACGAACCTAAACAAGATATTGGAATAAATTTCTGCAAAATTTTAATTACCTTTTGGTTATTTCGTTTCGGTTTTAACCATTTCGGTTAACGTGGCTTAACAACCTCGCAGAGTCGCACTATTAGCCAATAGGAGAAAGGAGTCTCTACTCTCTAATGCTCCCTCGCCTCTCCTTTCTCCCCCGTTCCCTCCACCCTACTCTCTCCTCTCGAATGGCGTCTGCTATTCCACGCGCCAATACCACTTTCTCTCACGAACGCTCCCTAACCACCTTCTCCATCTCCCGCTCTCCTTCCAATCTATCTCCCATTCGGTACACGGCTTGTTTCGATGTCCCTTCGTTATCGAAATCTGCCCTCTTCGGTAGGAGATTTCACGCTCTCTGCCAACAAGATGGGAGGCGGCTTTCGAGGCCTACGCGAATCGTTTCGGCTTTGAATAGAGATTATCGGAAGGTGAGAAGACGGCCAGCGAAGAGTAGAGAGAAGCAGTTGGAGCTCAGTGTCAGTATTTGCATTGAAGAAGAGTTGCCTGATGATCCTGAAATTTTGGTAACTATATTATATCTTACATTAGCTTTTCAAAAAAAATGCAGAATTAACTTATTTTCCGTTTGATTCTCGAGAAAATGAAAGAAAAGAAAATGCATAGGCAATTCCGATTATGCAATTTTCCTCTTTGGTTTATCGTACATTTTGCAGAGCATTGCGGAGTTACTTCGTCTTAATGTGCCAACGGCGATGAAGTTAGCTTTTGATCGTTTGAAAGATACAAACTATAAAACAAGAGATACTGTTATTGAAGATTTTGGCGGTTTCGAGAGCGTAGAGTTGTCTGTACTCCTTTGCAACGATGAGTTCATCCGAAAACTAAATAAGGAATGGAGGGACGAAGACCATGCTACTGATGTCCTTTCCATGTCAGAACATGTTCCTGCACTTAAGCTTCCTATTGTAAGTAGAATATGTGTTGACTGAAATGTTCGTGTAACTTGTAAATCAAAGCAATTGACATGTCTTTCTTTCTTTGCAGCTTATGTTGGGTGATATTGTAATTTCTGTTGAGACCGCTGCAAGGCAAGCAGAAGAAAGAGGGCACACTCTTATTGATGAAATACGAATCCTTATGGTTGGTTCAGCAATTTGAACTTTCTCCATTTATTTGCTTGAGACTGGAGAGTCATGATATTTACTCTATAACATCATACATTAATAAAAAGAATGGGCAGATAACCTTTTGTCGATAATACAACTACAATAGACCTTAAATAATAATGGTATGAATGGAATTTCAAGAAATCAAATCTTTTAGTTGGAAGGTAACACACTATACACACTCAGAAAGGAATTTTTTAGATTCACCTGTTTATGAGAAAACCCACAAAGGTAAATTTGTGGGTTGGCAACCAAGTGTTTGAGGTACAATTGATATCTAGGTTTCAATTTCATAAGAGGTGTGAAAAAAATAAAACTAAGGAAGCAATGGGCAGATTGAAGCAGCCTTTGTACTGTATTCAGCTTCTAAAGAAATTAGGATCAGGAAATAAAAAAACATGATGTTGTAGTGACTCCAACTTAATTTTTTTTATCCTCTTTGAAGGTTCATGGGTTGCTGCACCTGTTGGGCTTTGATCATGAAATCAGTGAAGATGCTGAAGAAGAAATGGAGAAGGAGGAGGAATTTCTTTTGAAGAGTCTTGGATGGAAGGGAAAAGGACTAATACGGAGTGCATATGATGGTGAAAATCTTCATATGGAAAATTCAAATGGTACTATCTTATTTTGTCTGTTTATTAGTAATTGGACCCTTTAAATTCTTATTTCTTACCCTGCAAATCTTATATTTTTTTGTGTGTATATCCTTTAGTGATTTTAAAGCTAAACAATATATGATGATATATAATCTTAAGTGAGATAATCTTACAGATAATATGTCAAAAGACAGGAAGAAAGAAGGTAGTCTTCGATTTTACGAACCGAAGTTCAAGTACATCTTCTGTGATATGGATGGTGAGATTATTGCCTCTGTAATTGAAGTGCTTCGTAAATCCAGTATTATATTTAATGCTTTTGTAACTTTAATGCTAGGTACACTGCTGAACAGCAAAAGTCAAGTTTCATTGACCAATGCAAGAGCTTTGAAAGAGGCATCATCAAGAGGTGTAAAAATTGTGGTAGCCACAGGAAAGGTAAGAACAGAGGGAACTTTTTGTTCTCATTCAGGTTTATTGACTATGGGATATTTTTCATACTTCTAACCTTGATTTTATAGTTAGCATTCTTTTTCTTTCTCTTCCATTTGGCATTTTGCTTGCTAGATGAAGGTTTCATTACCAGTTCTTCGTTTGACACTTGTCAGGCACGTCCTTCTGCAATAAGTGTTCTGCAGATGGTTGATTTAGCTGGCAAAGACGGCATCCTTTCAGAGCACTCTCCTGGGGTTTTCTTACAGGTTTTTCTTTCTCCTTTGTCCTTGCTGGCAGTTAGCATTTGGCATCTGTTTCAACTGAATATTGACATGGGAACTCAGACATCTATTTTTGCGTAAAGATGCTTGGCTGAAAAATTAAAGCAAACCACTTCTTAAAGGACATTGTTGGACTCACATAATCCTTTAATCCTTTCTTATACTTTTCTTGCTTTCTCTTTTGTTTTCCTATCTCTTCTCTCAATGAATATATTTTTCCTTTCATAAAGGTATATTGCATACATGTCATGTCAGATAAACTGTGGAATGACTTACGAAGAATTTATATTGAAGCTTGTGTGGTAAACTTCTTAGTTCACGTATTTATCCCTTGACTTGAATCTCTCTAGCGCATTCTCAATGAATCCTTAGAACACAATGCAAAATTTGATTCTCCTCATACATTCGTATGCTTGAAATTTGAAAATTTATTGCAGTTTATTTTATTACCATCTGTTGACTTGATTGCTTTCTTATTCTTTCTTGCAGGGATTGCTTGTTTATGGTATAAAAGGTCGGGAAATTTTTAGAAGGAATTTAGATCCAAATGTTTGCAGAGAGGTAAATATCTCTTTTGCTTGAACATAAAATAATTTGTTTTGTGGTTTTTTCCCCTTGTCCTGTTAAAAGGGAGCATTGGACATTTTTCTGCAGCCTGCATGTTAAGTTTTCATTCTCATTTGAGAGTAGGTCTATTTCAAAACTGGCTTTTGCTTTTGAGTCTATGTGTAAACATTTATCAGGAAAAATTCCCTCACAGTATAATGTTATATGAACTGTATTTTGTTTGAACAGAGAGTAGTTTATTTAGGCTAGGTGTGCTTGTTACAGGTAATTGTCATCTGAAGTCTGAGTTTATTTCTTATGAATTTGAACATTTTTTTGCCAGAGGCTGCGATTCATGCTTTTTGCTATCTAGATGGGATTTCATTTAATAGTATTCATTCTCTAATTTTTGAGAAAGGATATTCTCATTCCTCTCTCCTGTCCTGCCATTCTCCAAAGGGAGAAAAGGAAAGGATACTTTAGCCATTATTCGTCTAGTGACCTAAGTAGTAGTCTTCCTAGGAATTATCTGTGACATTTTTGGGTGTCTGTCTTGTGTCAGACATCATATGGGCCAGGTGTATGAAAAAAAAAGGGAATCAAGATGCTGAAAGCTTGATGCCCTGGTTAGCCATGTAAGATCTTTTAAAAGAATTTGTATTTATTGTTTTGTATCACAATGCAAAAGTTATTAAATTTTGCAGGCAGGCCATTACTCTCTAGAGCACAAGGTTCCACTTATTGCATTTTGTGAGGATCGCTGTTTAACCCTATTTGATCACCCTCTTGTTGACACACTGCATACTGTATATCATGAGCCAAAGGTGCATTATAGTTTAAATACCTTTCTCTCATATCAATACTTTTTGTTTGTTGACCAAGGAAACTTTTATGATATAATTCACATAAGAATTTTTACAGGCGGAGATCATGCCTTCAGTTGAGCATCTGGTGGCTGCTGCTGACATACAGGTACAGGCAGAGATTTAATCTCTTGTTCATGCTTCAAGCATAGGTAGAAAGTCCTAGGAGTATATCTTTTATCTGCCAGGTCTCAAACATCTTGTTTGTGATAGGAGAAAAAAAGGAGCTATGGTGATTGTTTCATTTATTAATTATTATTCATTTTAGTAAATCTGGTTGTTTGCTCAATGACCACAATCTTCAATATGCTTTGAGAAGTCCTTACATGAGTAAATAATAGTTTCATTCTTCCTACCAAAATGCAGTTCCCATGTTTCGCTTTTATTCCATTTTATATCCCAAATGCTTTTAGAAACAGTGGTAGTCATTGCCCATAGCTTCTGTGATTCTAATATAGATGCATGTACATTGTATTTCTGTTGACATAAAACTACATTTCGAGAAAGAAAAGCTTAAGTTGCTTGAAAATTTCTGTTTTAAATGCCATTAATAACTTGCAATCAATTTGACTCAATTTCTGTTATAGCATTCAACCCAATAGTTACGGTGGATTTTGTTGAATATGATCCTTATCATTAATGCACATTTTCTGGATTTGCAGAAGCTGATATTTTTCGACACTCCTGAGGGAATATCAACCAATTTGCGTCCATACTGGTCAGAAGCTACAAGAGATCGTGCTAGTGTTGTCCAAGCTGTACCAGACATGCTTGAAATCGTTCCTCTTGGGACTTCAAAAGGGAGTGGAGTAAAAATGCTACTTGATCATTTGGGTGTCAACGCAAAGGAGGTACATCCAATATGTTCTCCTATCTCCTTTCTTCTCTTTCCTGTTTCTCTTTTTCCAACCACTGAATTTGCTTGGTTAAGGTGAAACCAGCATTTTTTTCTTGTTGATTTTGCATTTTAACACAGCAAACCCTGCATTTACGCTTTAGATGACTGGAGAAGTAGCTGCTACATTATTCAATTACTACTACTTTACAACGATAAAAGTTGAACTCTCATGATACTAACTAACTGAACTATGTTTTTACAAGCTTAAATGTATTGTAAAAACATGCCTATATTTGACCTTAATAATCTAATCATGGTTTTCTTTTCTGTTTGGCCCTAGATAATGGCTATTGGTGATGGGGAAAATGACGTGGAAATGCTTGAGTTGGCATCTCTGGGAATTGCTCTCTGTAATGGAACAGAAAAAACAAAAAGTGTGGCTGATGTAATTGGTCCTAGCAATGATGAAGATGGTGTAGCTGACGCCATCTACCGGTATGCATTCTGAAGACTTAATTCACGCATAAGACATGGTACAATATCCGGAATGGGCTATTTTTGCTCTTTCCATGGATCATTTCGGTCATCCTGATATAATAGGAGATTAATTTGTCTCCTTTCCCCCATAATTTATTTTTTCCCTTTTGGATGGGGAACCCCAATTACTTGAAATTCGTGTTTCTTTTGTATAAGGCAAATGCCTTTATTCTTTACTGACACAAGATGTTATGCATTTGCTCCTCCCATAGTACCTGCTTGGAGAATATATGGTAACTTAATCATGCTAATGATTTCACCTGAGCTAACTCCATTCTATGTTTCTAACGGACCTCACCTCCTCCTCCCTTCCTCTCTATTACTTTTATTGCAATTTTTAGTTCAATTTTTTCCATCTGTAATTTTGTTACATTTGCCATTATATGATAGCAAAAATAAACAGCCTTCTGGATCTTGAAAGGTGGTGGTGCAAGCACTGTGCCCTGCTCACGATCGATTTGTTAATACTTTAACCATCTCTGATCTTTTTATTTTGTCAAGAATATGTTAAAAGGGGCCAAACCTTTTTGCTATGCATAAGTGGAATCAACAGTGCATGATGAAAGCTAAACATCGTGTCATGCAGAGCAATGAAATCACACGAGTTCCATGTTCAAAGACAGGCGAGTAGGATATACCTCATGGCTATACTCAAAAGGAGAAAATGTCAACAAAATACATTTAAACAGCTTAGAGAAGTCAAACAACTCAAGATAATACTCAGAGAAAAGTTGCATCATGTGCCATACAACAGCATCAAGTTGTAAGATACATTATTTTCCTCTTGGAACCTTTGCACAACCTCCAGGTCTGGCATTCAAACTGTTTTGTCGAACTGGGCTCGAGAATTTCTCCTAGCACTTTCCAACACGGTTTTATCAACGGTAATGAAGTAAGCAGCAATCGACGCTGTTAACCAATGAAGATAGCCATATTATGATGTGACAAACGTACCATACTCAATCATAATAAAAGTCATTCCCATATCCCTTCTATTTCTATGTTATCAGAAGATAGCCATTAATATGATGCTGTATAGAAATCATGGATACACAAGTTAGGACTCATGAGAATCTATGGCTAAGACTAATAAATCATACAGTACAGATTTGAGAATACCTCCACTGATGATAAGAGCTTGAGCAGTATGGTTGAGGTTCGCCTTCGCCCAAGGAATCTTACGAACTGCAATCAACTGACAAAAGAAGGGGTGGTTGGAACTCGGGATAAAATTAGAAAGCAATTGTCAAGCCATTCATGCATGGAAACGAACTGAGGACCGACCTCTATTAATGGAGATCATGAAACTCCAAGAATTGTTTTCTTAACACCATTAAATTCTCCAGGACTTAAGCAGCCATTGACTTAATTGTGTTTTAATCTCTAAATCACTGAAACTAGATGACCAAGAATTATACATTTTAATCTAAGAAAGTTGGTCCTTATGCCATAACTGTATAATTTATAACACCAACAACCCGCAATCTGTGATTCAACAACAGAAGGTCAAAGAATTAAAAGTTTTAAACAGCGGCTGGCTAGCAGATTCAGTAAAGGGAAATGGATGAACCTGCATTAACCCAATGGTCGAAAAAATTTGCAATTTGTAACCATTATCTCTGAAGTGCAGGAAAATAGAAGCATCAACCAAAGAGACACTTGAATTCAGGATGATGCTCCTTGTTTTATTCGGAGGAAAACAGAAATCCTCCTAAACTGAAAATGTTGTAAGGAGCAGTAAGTTTAAACGGCTCTTTACTAAGGAACCGTCACAAAAGATTTGAATTATAGATCAGAATGAGTTACTCTAAATTTGGAAATTAAAATAAAATAAAATTGCAAGGTTAACGTTAACGTACTGTAGGTACAGCGCTGACTACGGCGGCAATCGCAGCAGCCTTGACACCGGCACGAACTCCTTCTGCGGATTAGACAAAAACCAAAGCTTTGTATTTAGCTATTAACACTTGCGTTTGACCTAAATTCATTCAACATTAGTAGACGGAAAATTTGTCAAACAGAAAAAAGAAAAATACAATAGAGTTTTATGTGATTGCAGCTTGATCACTGAAACAAATCAAGTTAAAAAATTATCAGAAATTTCAGATTTGATGTTCTTTTTATTTTCCCTAAGATTTTCCAGCCGCAAAAATTGAGGAAATAGAAAATAAAAACCTTGAGAGAACCGTTCGGCCCTCGATCTCTTCTCGTCTTCAGCAGGAGAAGGAATCACGAAAGAATTTCTTCTTCTCTGCATGAATGCATCCCTCATTTCTGATGGAATTCCCATTTTCTGCTCTGCAGCTTCCAGCAACAAAAGAAAGAGGTTTTCCTTTTTATTCCTTTCTGTGTAAGCTTTGACGAAGGAAGACAGAAAAACAAAAGATCGTTTAAAAGAGCAGAAGGGAGAAGCGTGATTTGATTGCCGGCTGCTCCTGACTTGGTTTAATGGAACGTCTCCTCGCCCCCACGTGCATCTGCTCTCACTATTTTCAACTTGTAATCAGAGCCGTTGCCTCAGGCGCATATCACCGGTTCCGTTGATGAACGCTTTTGATTATTTGGATGAAACTAATATAAGATACAGGAAAATAGGGAATTTAAGAACCCATTTCTCCATATTTAAAATGATCGGTGAAATAATAAATATTTTAAAAAATTAAATTATTTATAAATATCTAAACAATTTTTTATTATATTTAATCAAATTTTAATATTTTATTTTAAATTAAATAAAATTTTATAATCAATAATTAATTAACTATTGATATGTTAACAAATTATAATAAATTTATAATATGACATAATGATATAAAATATAATATTTTTATTTATAATGTTAAATTAACATAAAATGAAAAAACATTTTAATTAATAATAAATATTCATCAAAATTTATTTGAATTAAATAAAAATATAAAAATTTAATTAAATATAATAAAAAAATTATTCTCAAATACTTAAAGCATGAGTTGGAAATATTCTTTTGTACGACCACTCTAAGTTTCTTCGTTAGTAGTGGCCACTACAATACAGGCACGGCCAAACACTGCCCACGGCACAACGAAAGCAGAAACCAACTGCTCCTTAAAACTCTTGCCGCAGTTTCTAGCTGTGGTTCGAGGACAGCTCCAAGTTCGTTTACAAACCCAAGAAATTAAGAAAATAAAGAATATTTTTGATGGTTTTCAAAAGCAACAGCACAACTAGACCAATATGCGTCTACTTTGGGTGGCAATTGCAATTTAACATCAATGGTATAAGGAAAGGAAAAATCATCAGTCTAAGACAACAATTCCCTTGCAAATAAAATTTTCCACTGTAAAATAACACATTCCCAGCAAATGTTTGGGGGGAAAAAAGAAAAAAAAATTTGAAATTTCATACAATATAGGGGAATCAATATCAGTATCATCACTCTTCAAGCACCAAATCACTTCATCTTCACACCTAGCTATCCATCGGAAATGATATCAACTGCCCACAAGTCCAGTGCTGAACATATTAGATTACCATACGAAGATGCAAAAACAATTTCCTAGAGAAGAGACAGGAAAGGGAACGAAAAGGAAGCAACATACCTATGCAATTAAAGGCCCTGGTCAATTAGATAATCACCCAGCCTTTCCACAATCATGTTGCACTGACCAGGTGTCAAGGGCTCATCGTATATACCAATGATCAAGGCTTGGTTGGTCTTCTTAACAGTCACACCGCCAGAGCCCTATATTATGCATAATTAAGTTGAGGGAAACTCAAAAAAGACCATACCACTAAACAATTTCATAGCATTATAGCACAATAATTAGGTTTTGATTAGAGAAACCACTGATCGTATAGCACTGCAATGGAGTTTCCAGCAATTAAGTTGTTTCCTCTTTTACAAAGGAAGCCAGATTGCCTTGCAAATTACGTGTAGGGCAAACTAGAACAAGATCAATTATGGTGAACCAGGATATATAAATTACCTTCTTCCCTCTTATCACAGCCCCTGGTTCACCCTGGATCACCATGTATTTTACACCACCAAGGAATAAGCCAGTTGGTGCAAGAGTACCAGGTTCAGCAAAATCATTCATGATGGCAGTTATTTCTTCAGGCGAAAACTGCAAGACCAAGTGCATAGAAACAGTTAAAATTCCACAGGGCATAGAATTACACAAGCAGGAGAGCCCACCGGTAGATGCAAGCAGAAGACAGACCGCACACAACACACACACCAACCGTGCTTTAGATAAATCATGCCCTTCCTAAATGAGCAAGTTGAAAGGCACATGCTTTTGATGCAAACTCTTGCAAATCCCAATCTGCTCTAGTTCCACTTATTGACTTTCCAAAACAAAGAAACAGTTCTTTATATACGCATTTCTTAAAAAAAAAAAGAAAAAGCATGAGATCAATCACATTTTTCCCAAGAAGGAGCTCCAACTTTATGACTTTTCTAATTGATAGAATTTTGTTTCAGACCAAACATGTTGGTCTGCTATTACGATATTAAGATCACTAATGGAAGAATTAAATCCTAGCCGTATAATGCACTAATGCAGTCAGCTAAACGAGTAAGCTATATTAGTCTTAGCCGGCACACGAAAAACTAGTTATGCCCTTTGCAGTCGACTCATTCAATTACCATCTCCTAAAGAAAAATCATCGGACAGAACCTTAGCACATACGAAACACAACAGTTTAAGAACTCTTATCTAATTTGATGATAGCAAGAGAAACTTATCATCCGGTAATTCGAATTAAACCTAATTACTTCAAATTTTAAAACTAAAAAGTAATCAGAAGAAAACGACCACATGCACAGCCCAAACAAAGAACAAGTTCACAAAAACACACAACACCGCCAATAGCCCAATAACATGTTAACTACAGAAAAAAAAGAGAAAGAAATAAAGCAGACAAAACTAAAATTCAATCTAAGAATAAACGGAATGAAAAAGAAGCGAGAAGAGAAAGGAAATAGAACCGCAGGGAAGGTAGCGCTCTGGGCCCAAACGCTGCCGTCTTGGCCGATGATAGCAGCAGCGGTGAGATGAATGCCTTGGCCTTCTACATCGCACATCAAGTGCTCGTCCACGTACTGTTGCCAAGACATCTTTGCTTGATTTTGTTTAGCTTTTGCTTTTGCTAATTCCTCCTTTGACTGATGATTTCTTTTTTTTTTTTTTCTTTCTTTTCTGGTTAGCAAAAAAGAAGAAAGGAAGAAGAGGAGATATAGAGGCAAGGAGGTGGCAGGCAGGTTGCGTGAAAATTAAGCTGCGCTGGACATCGTCCAACGTGGACTAAATATTGGATGTGCTGTCGTTTGGGACCCACCTCCTTTTTTTAAATTAAGCGTCGGCCCAACGGTTCCCTTGATACGCTTAATTTTTCAAAGGTGATTTAACTAAAAATAGCCAAAAGAAAAGTAGTGCTATAGGTATACTAATCTTTAAGTGACAAGTTGTTCAATGATTGAAAGCAAGTAATTAGAGGATTGGGATTCCGAAAAAACTGTAGGTATTAGGTGGAGCTAGAAAATAATGGGACTCATCTCATCCAATCATGCTTTGCACTTTGTTGTGTTCACAAGCAATCTCAGCTCAGGTCCTCTGGCATTATCTCTTGGTGCATGTTTAACATTTAAGTGAAAGGCTGTAAGCAGGTAAATGTGGCCACAGATTTCACCGTGTTTGGGGCATCTGCGTAAATCTAGGTAATTGGTCAGCTTGGGATGGGGAAGGCCCAGGCCATAGAGGGTAACCGAGGAGAACATCACCGCTCTATACAAGTCAGTGCCCAAATCTCAAGTCTATGGAGACCTTGTATTGTTCTTTTCAGGTAAACAAGTTGAGGAAAACTACAATAGTCAGTTGACGGATGGAGGAACTTTTAGTTTTGGGCTCTGTCCAAGACATTTGTAAACAACACTCACCACAGGCCTGAACCTCTTCTCTAACGGCTGCCTAATCCAACTCAGTCAGCAGATCATCAAAACACTGATCACTGATGAAGATCGAACAAGAAGAAGTCGGATAAGTCAAAATGATCAGAGGTTAAAGAAATAGATTCTACTCAGAGAAATAACGTTAAGCCTTTGGCTCAGTGGTCATGTACCTCACTTCAATGGGAGAGCTCCCAAATCAACTTATTGAATTTGAGTTTGGGGTACATGACCATCAAGCCAAGGGGTCATTCTTGTTATTAATTTTTACATAAAGGTAATATTCATGATAGCCATGTAAACATAATCAAATCAGATTTGTCCTCGTTCCTGAAGATCTAACACTTTTGACAAAAACATGCTATACAGTCTAATAAATCTATATTATTGCTAAAGGATTTGCACCTTCCAATAATTAGATTCTTCAAGATGACCAGAGTCTCCTGAAAGAAAAAGACTTCACCAGAGGATGAATTCAACCGATAACTCCTCCCTCTAAATGCCACGCCGGTTGCCCTATCTTGTTGGACATGGGCATTTGTGGGGTCTCCAAGTCTTCCACGTTCAACAAGTTTATGCCTGCAATTATGTGAGTCAAGGAATTTGCTTGTTTGTAAATTCATGAATATCCTACACGAAGGAACCACTGTAATAACTGCAAATTTCTGGAAAGAAATATTGGAAAATCTTAAAAGTATATATTGTGAAGCACATACGAATTCAATTCAAAAAACTAATATTTACATTAAAAGAAACATGAGAAACAACATGACCTTGCATTTAACATAAATCAGTAGACTAGCTTGAGATGTAGAGTGCAACATAATGTCATATGTATCTGTAATTTAACTGAGGCATTGAATAAGTTGGAAACAGTATATAGGAGTGCTCAGCAATTGCCCATGAAATACTCATCTAAGATTTCCTCCTAAAATGCGCTATGGAGAAGATAATTCTTATAATTTCCACAAAAAAGCTAAGGAAATTAAATGGGTGTACCTCAGACAAATAGCATATTCATCAGGACAGCAAGCAAACAGTGAAGGAGACTCACAAATTACTAATGATCCGTATAGCTATCTTCAGTAGGAAAAAGGAAGTATATAACCTCTATAATCACTTAAGCTATTATCCTCAAGTAGAATAAATACTAATTCAATTTGAAATGAAAGGAAAAAGTTTCACCTCTTATGTTCGTTATTTACTGTTGTCAGAGAGGCCAAAGACTAAATCATCGAGAATAGAACATGAAAGGATACACCCATGTTGGAGTTGCTAAAATGTTTCTTCCCCCAGCAGGAGGATGCAGCACTGTCAAGTAGTATAATGTGCCCGGAAATTATCCCCATAATGTCCGGCTTAAGAGGGGAACCAAATAAAACATCCAAAGCAAGCATTGCCCATGGTAGATAAAAAGCCTGTGTTCCAGCAGCAATGTATAAGCATTTACACCAGCAGACCCAAACAACAAGTAGCAATAAGCAGAAGAATATGGCATAATTCAGGCACAACCGGGACACAGATATGTAACTAATGTGTACCTTGAGTGCAACAAGCCCATATACATTGATTTGAGCATTAGGAAACTCTCTACTCCAGATGTATAGAAGCATGAATACCAGTGAAATCCCAAGAAATGGACTCCTTAAGATAGGAATGGCTGATAACGCCTAATCGCACAGAAAGAAGAAACTAAAGATAATATACTCCACATAAGAGCTATTCTAAACCTGACATCTATAAACTCATATACCAAATTATAACAAATTATACCATCTAACTCCGAAGAGACCATGAATAAAAGAACAATAAAAGTTGCATGCCTAACACACACCAGCAATGAAAGAGCTCCAACAATCATCATCCACAGAAAATCTGCTGTCCGCCTTTCAAATGGCCCCTTCTCCAGCTGAACTCCATATCTAGCTCTATAATAACAAGTGAATGAAGGTGCATAACAAATATGTTGTCACACATGGTAACACATGCATTGGTGCATGACATTTAGATTATTTCTGGAAAGCTTCTATGCTAAATACTTATATCATGAGGACACGAATTCCAAAATTTACAGAAACGTTTCCAAGGAAAAAGAAATTTGTAAGAAGCCTCCACACCTAAAAGAAAAGACTCAATAACCCCAAAAAAATCTAAAAAAAAAGGGCAACAGTTTAAGTGCGTTTATTAACGAGAAGTAGCTATGTAACACATAACAATCATTCAATCAAACAGAACAAAAGTGAAAAAGACTTGTCATGATATCATTGTAAAAGCACTTCATTAGAATTCGTTTGTACAGGTACACCCTGGGCCGTACCTGAAAGTCTGAAATTACTAATTTGTGGATTAATGCAACAAGTTCAAGTCGACATAGTCCCAAATGGAAAGCAACAGTAGCCACCACACAAATAGTCCCATAAGCTTTGGTGATCGGTGGCAGAGATTTGTAGAAACTGAGAAAGAGTAAGCAACAAGTTATGGCATGGATCAGCACAATCAGAACAATGAGAAGATCTGTTAAGAAATAAAAATTGCAAGAAGGACTAAAAAAGAAAAAACAGAACGGACGGTTACGTGGCTATTTCCTAGTGAATTCAATTATTTACAATTAAAACTTGACTTTCGCGTGATTTCTGTTTGGACGCTGAGAAAAAGTGGAAAATAGGGAACTAAAACCTTCAGATTAAATGTAAGATGACCGATCAACAAACCTTTTTTGCAGAGGAAAAAAAAAGAAGAAGGAACATAGACAAGGGACAAAATGTATTATAAACTGCTATCTTATTCTTGTCATTAGATTTTCTAAGCAACCAAACACTAGATAACAAAAAAAATGGATTAAGATAGACAGAAAAAGAAAAATGAATAATAATAAAATGCGTAAATCGGTGAGCGATAAGTTCTTATAAATCATGCAGGAAATAATGACAGTGATGATCAAGGTTTGAATAATGTGAAATTGCACCATAAATACTGCAAAGAAATGAGAATGTATAGAAACTTAGTCTGCTGGAGACGACATTTTATCAGATTAAAGCTACTCTTCCTGCTTCAATTTGAGCTCTGCTTTGAGAATTTACTTGCACTACTTGTGAAGGTGAAGCGGCTTCACGAAACGTGGCGTAAGACTTAAATGGCGCTGTCAAATGTCAACTCGAGGAGGCGGGCCTCCTGTGAGGTTTAATGCGCAAGGAAAATATTCCATACTGATAGGGCGTATCGAAAGCCAAAGGTAACAACGACTGGGTCCAATAACGAGATGCCAAATCATACTCTAGATTCTCTTAATGCCGACGTGTCAGCTCATTGCCATCGATGCTAAAAAATGCAAAGGTCAAAATAGCTCAGCAGTACTTGTATTCATATATTTTCTTATTTTCATTTTTTTAAAAAATCGTAATAATATAATTTTTTATTTTGTTAGTTGTTATAATTTAGTTTTTTAATATTTTTTTTTACAATTACTTTTCACATAATTGATATTATTATTGATATAACACTAACATGATACTACTTATTAACGTTACATATGAAGTAGATTAGAAAAGTTAACATATGTCGATGTAGATATACTATGTGGCATATTAGACATGACACCGCATGTCACATTTTCCTTTAGTATTAAGAGAGAGACACATGTCTCTTCTTGTTATATGCTAATATAAATATATCACATAATATGTCAGATAAAAAGTAAATTTGTTGAGTTTTTTTTGTTATATGTTGATGTAGATATACCGTGTGACACGTTAGATAAAAAATATACTTGCTAAGTTTTGAACCCAAAACCTCATACAAACATCCTCACCACATACTCTAAACACTTATTTTTTATTATATATTGTTGTTGTTTCTTTTACCTTTTCATTACTTTTTTTTCCTATTTCTTTCTTCCCTTTCATCTTTTCCCTTAAGTATCGATCATCAATCATTAGACATCGTCACTAGTTGCCGATCAACGGTCATCGATCATGGTCATGGCATGGTATGTTTGATGATCGTCAACCAACGATTGATGGTCAATGACTGGTAGTCGATGGTCAATGACGATGTTTGTTAACTAGCAATCCATTTTTAAGGAAAAAAATGAGAGAAGAGAGAAAGAAAAAAGAAAAATAGGAAAGAAAATAATAAAATAAATGAAATCAATATATAAACAAATGTAAGGGTTTAGAGCAAATCGTAAGGAGCTTGTTCTATTGAAGGAGGGTGTGACATATGGTGCCTTTCCTAACGTCAACAATAACATCAACTTTTAAAGGTAATTTTGAAAGGAAAATATTAAAAATATTAAATTAAAGTAATTTTAAAAATTAAAAAAATTAAATTATTACAATTTTAAGTAAAAATACTAAATTGAAAGAAATGCATAAATATAATTGAGATATTTTGACCAATACAAAAATCAAATGACTCAAAATCTGATAACTTTTGTTTACCATGTACCAAAACTAAACTCTTTGATAATTTTTTAATTCCAAAAACAATATCTTAATTAAAATATTATTTAAAATATTAATAAAATAATATAATAAATAAAATAAATGATAATATTTAAAATTTATATTAAAGTAGATTTATTATTCATTCTTAAAGGCAGACGAACATCTTCATGTTCAATACAAGCTTGAGTTTAATTATAGCTGAAAAGGCCGGAGTCCCTTTGCTTTGTATCACAGTAATTTGGCAATTTATCCAAAATTTAAAATAAAATTCAATTACTTTGTATATCCTCAAATTAAAAAACTATATATATACATACATACACATAATCTTACAATACACATCTCACCCTCTTTTTCATTTTAAAATTTGAATTCAAAATTTTTTATTTTAAATTTAAATTTTAACAATAAGGTGTCATTAGGAAACTTATTTAAATTAATCAGTATGCAGTGTAAGTATTTTTTCATTGATTATGATGAAACCATTTAAATCTTGTAACAGTTTAAAAAGGTTTACATGGTGAATGCTAAGAACTTAAATGTGAAGCACTCTTTAAAAAAAAAAATCATTAAGTTACGAACCAATTATTCACTTCATCTTATTTTTGGTTGTCATGTTTTACTTGCCTACAATTGAGATGGAAAGCGAATTCTAAGAGTGTTTTACCAACTCGTAAAACCCGTGGCCAAATTGTAAACCGTCAGCATCATTACACTGACATCGCTGCAGTATTTGTTACAGTTCAAAAAAGGAAGGACCCACAACGATGATCAACAGCAGATTCTCATTCATGTAATGCAATAAGGCATAAATATTTATGCCTCTACACACTTTACGCCGTCGATTAATTAAATAAATATTCAAAATATTCCTAATACCAGGTACCACTAAAACTAACCAAGTTTTGAAGTCCTTTTGTTTTTAAGTTCCATGGTTGAAACTGGTTTCCAATCTTCATACTAGCAAATATTAGTGTCCACAAATATAAATCAAGCAAGTGCACGAAAATATTCAAAAAATAAAAAGAGAAAGTGCACGAAATAAATAAAAAATTAAATTTAACAACTTCTAATCTGACGTGGCTGGATTAGTGATGACTAAAAGTCAATTAAAAATAATAAACTTAAGACTAAAATCCAACGCAAAAGCCACAGATATCAGTTAGAAGCCGGGAAATACAACGTATGCGGCGCCACCTGTTTTGCGGAAGAGAACCTCGGATCCAGGTGTAAACGACGCCGCTTCAATTTTGACGTGCTCGATAAGTGCTTCGATAGCCCAATATTCTCTCCACAGACAACCCCTACATATTGGCATTGTCACCCGCGGCCAACTCCTTTCAGTTTTTTCTTAAAAAAAAAAAAACGGTTGCCATTTCTCTTTTCCTCCAGCTAGTCACCGAAAATAGAAGATCCAAGTTCCCTGTTTTTCTAGAGAGAGCAAGCTATGGGAAATCCGTGTGATACGCAGATGAAGTTGGTTGCCGGTGCTGCCGGTTACGTGCTCGAAGATGTTCCTCACTTGACTGATTACCTTCCTGATCTCCCCGTACCTTCTCTTCACTTTTTCTTTCTTTTTTTAAAAATTTCTTTCAAACTGATCCATTTATATTAGATCAAGAGAGATGAGATGCACACTCTTGAGTCTTTTGTTTAGTGAAAGTAATTTGAGAACTCAGATTCTGTTTTTTTTTTTTTCATTTCATTTCGAGTATCTTTTAAGTTACTGAATTTTCCATCATTATAAGCCTCCCTCTTCACTCCCTTTCTTTCTTTTCTTGCCGTGTTTTGTAATATATATATATATATATATTGTTGAATAACAGTATTACACACTTTATGTGTGTTATGCTATAGCTTTCAGCTTTACGTAATTGCGAGTAGTTTTTTTTTTTTTTGAATTTCGTTTTATTGGTGTTTGTTTGTGTGGCAGAGCTATCCCAATCCATTACAAGATAATCCAGCTTATTCAGTAGTCAAGTGAGTAAAGTAAACCTGGTGTTTTTCATTAGCTGATTCATTGGTTTTCGATTGTGGTTTGTTTATCCCCTTTTTGTTGCAAGATAGTGATTTGTTTGCTTGGTTTTTTGGTTTGCAGGCAGTATTTTGTTAACGAAGACGACACCGTCACTCAGAAGGTAAATCATTGTCTTAATGCTTGTGGTTTTGTATTTTATGGAAAATTCAATAGAAGTTAAATGTGGTGATCTTTCCTTGTATTAATAAACCAATTTCTTGGTTTCAATTTGATACACTGTTCTTTTTTTTAATATATAAAAAGAATCAATTTGATACTCTGTTTTTGAAGTCCTGCACTTCCTTGAAACTGCGGTGTAAATATGGTCAAGAAAGAATGCCTTGGAAACTATACCAAGTGAAAAATGGTTTGTTTCATGTGTTGCCATTGCAGCTATTAACAATATACCTTCTTAATCGGGATGGCTGACTGAATCACTAGTTTTATTGTAGATTGTTGTTCACAAAGACAGTCCAAGAGGGGTGCATTTTCGTCGTGCAGGACCTCGTCAAAGGGTACAATCCTCATCTTGTCTCAATGCTATTGGGTTGAAGTTACCAAATGTAAGCTATAAACTGTTTACTGACTGGCACATGCAATGCTTGTCAGGTGTTTTTTGAATCAGACGAAGTGCATGCATGCATTGTAACATGTGGTGGTCTATGCCCTGGGCTCAACACAGTGATCAGGGAAATTGTCTGTGGCCTCTATCACATGTATGGTGTTAGAAAAATTCTTGGAATTGATGTAAGTAATTTTGGTATGATAATTGAGCATTTTAACGCATGTTAACTTGGTTTATAATCAGTGTGGGCTGTCATCATTTGGTAATTTCACCCGCAACTTATACTTGACACATCTTTAGGGAGGATACAGGGGTTTTTATGCCAAGAACACTGTCACCTTAACACCTAAGTTTGTTAATGATATCCATAAACGTGGTGGTACAATCCTTGGGACATCAAGAGGAGGTCATGATACCTCAAAGATTGTTGATAGCGTTCAGGATCGTGGAATCAATCAGGTGTGTTAAGGTGCAAGGGTAGAGGTTTTTGTCTCAGCCTCCTCCCTGTTTTGTTTGAATTTATGCATCTAATATTTTTCTAATGACTACTCTGTCACATAACTCGTTTCCGATGGTTCTAATTGTCTCCTTTAGCGGTTCAGGTTTATATAATTGGAGGTGATGGAACTCAAAGAGGAGCAGCAGTCATTTTTGAGGTATTAGCATTTGGTGTTTTCTATAAAAGTCTTAAGAGAAATGTCGCATAGAGGTTGATCAATTTAACCAAAGCTCTAGTCAAGTCTATAATGTGCTGTCAGAAAAATCAATACTGATCTTAGCATTAATTTGAATACTAATCAATGCAAATAATCGTTGTTCTTAAGTTTTAGCTTAACTGATTTTGCTCTGGGCAGGAAATTAGACGACGTGGCCTCAAAGTAGCAGTTGCTGGAATTCCCAAAACCATTGACAATGACATTCCGGTATTTCTTATCTTCATTTTTGTAGTTTTCTACAAACTTTATCCTTGTCTCCACTTTAAAGACATGTCAATTAATCCATGATATGGCATTGTGTTGGATTGCTGATTTTGCTTCAGGTTATTGACAAATCATTTGGTTTTGATACTGCGGTTGAGGAGGCTCAACGTGCCATTAATGCGGCACATGTTGAAGCTGGAAGTATTGAGAATGGCATTGGACTTGTAAAGCTAATGGGACGCTACAGTGGTATGCTTAGTTGCTATAATCATAATAGATGGGAGTCCTGACAATTTTATAGTCAATACTGCCAGGTGTCCCTTTGTTTAATTTTGTTTTTAGTATTGGTAATTTTGAGCCTTTCTTTATTTATCATATTGAACTGCTGGTTCAGGTTTCATTTCGATGTATGCTACTCTTGCCAGCCGTGATGTTGATTGTTGCTTAATTCCAGAGTCACCATTCTATCTTGAAGGAAGTGGTGGTCTTTATGAATTTATTGAAAAAAGACTTAAAGAAAATGGACATATGGTTATTGTTATAGCTGAAGGAGCTGGACAGGATCTTCTTTCAGAGAGCTTGCAGTCCATGGACCAGCAAGATGCTTCAGGAAACAAGCTTCTTCAAGATGTCGGGCTGTGGATCTCTCATAGGATAAAGGTAATACCTCTAATTGACTAATTTATGCTTTTATTTGATTATGGCTAGTTGGCTACTCATTAGATATCTATGTAATATCTAGGCTAAAATCTTAACTGTCTTTTGTTGCTTTGTATAGGAACATTTTGCAAAGAAGAAGATGCCCATTAATCTTAAATATATAGGTTAATGCCTCATTTGCATTTTGTTTACTTTCTTCCTGCTAAATTCAACCTTTTAATAATGTGCAAAATATTTGAATTGAAAAATTTGGCTTGCAGATCCTACATACATGATCCGGGCAATTCCTAGCATTGCTTCTGATAATGTCTACTGCACCCTACTTGCTCATAGTGCAGTTCATGGAGCGATGGCAGGGTATACAGGCTTCACTGTTGGTCCTGTCAATGGCAGACATGCTTACATTCCATTTAATGTATGTTCCTCGCACCTTTAATAACTCCTCAGCTGATGAACACTGATTAATGTTATAAATTTTTTTCCAAGTGTCCATTAGAAACCATTAACCATGAACCAGTGGTCACTCCAATTCATGTTGTCATTGTGGCACTATTTGAGACAGAAACCAGTGAAACAAAACTTAAATTAAAGGAAGGGAAAGAAAGAACTGTGGTGGGTTGCAGTGAAATAGCACATTTGGATTTAGTCATTGAGCTTTTGTTTTTTGAATTTACCTGCAAAAAGATGATAGTTATGGATAGCTGCATTCTGTCTCCCACTATGTTTTTATTACTTGCAGTACTTTTCCTGACCAAATTTATTTGAGCAAAAGATGTTTCTCTCATGGTTTTACAGAAAGCCTTACTGTTGATTTTCTGTTGCAATTTTAATATGCAGCGAATCATTGAGAAACAGAACAAGGTTGTCATTACTGACAGGATGTGGGCGAGGCTGCTTTCTTCAACGAACCAGCCAAGCTTCTTGAACCCCAGAGATATTTCTGAAGTCAAGAAAGAGAAACAACCTGCAACTGGCTTGTTGGATGGGGAAAATTGTAGAGACAGAAAGTCAGTGACTGAAGACGATCCTTGTATATCATGAAAGGTGCATCAAATACTGTCATGTTCACCACCATCTTTGCAGTTGGTCAAATTGCCACTCATATTTAACACAGGTCTGACTGTAACTTTTGAAATGAGTAGTTATTTCTACTGTTTTATGAATTACTTATAGTAGATGTTTTGGTGCTGGTGCTTTAACATTCAGAAGTTAATAGTGCCATGGAAACGTCTTTGATCAGCTTATCCATACTGCCATGGAAGTTAAAGTATTCATCAGTTTATATTGGCTCCCTTTGTTACTTTGTGCTATGTTTTGGTGCTGGTGCTTTAACATTCACAAATGGCTATTATTGTTCCAAGTGAGGAGCTATTTTACAACAATATATTCGACTAATTTCTGATTTTTTTTTTTGAATCTGGTAATTGCCTAATTGGGGCCAAGAGAAGACTAGAAACAGAAAACCTAGCGGCAACCTTGGCACTCTCGGCCCTTGTTTTCCAAATACAAGTTATGATGCAGACTACTGAGGAACAATGAGATGGTTTCAACCACCAAGACACACATTCATCTTTAACTTTGAACCCACAGAAACTTACAAATTAATGTCTAGGTTGTCAATTTCTGGAGTAAGGGGAGTTTAAACTTTTGGTGGTACCGCACCACCGAACAACATATCCGTCCTATTTTAACATACAAATGAATTACAATAGATTTAACAAACAAATTGCTGTTATTACTACAAAGCTTGGAGACACATGCAAAGTAAGGATTCAGAGTGTCAAGAACCATAACATTTAATTTGAAACCATCTTTGCACAATCATCCTCACAAAAGAATTTAGAGGAACAGATGTATCTTAAGCTCTATAGATGCCAGATGGGTCAGCATTCTGAACAATCCATGGGTGCTCAAGAAGCTTATGTAGTGGTAAGCGCTGCGAGGAATCCTTGACAAGCATCTGTAAGAACAGTTAAAAGTTCAGGATATGCCCCGATGGAACAATTATATGTATATCACAAGAGATGATATGCAGCAACAGGAGATACCTGACTAACGAGGTCCTTAGCTGCAGATGAAACAATTGGCTTAGGAGGGAACTTCAGATCCACTTGCATAATCCTGTGGAAGTGGTACAGTGGAAAAGTTATGATATCAGCAATAAAAAGATGAACTACACTATACTGCATTTCAGTTGCTCATGAAAGCATACTAGAGCAGGTTAAATTCCCTAACATATCATCATTTGAGAACAAAACGTCAACTTGATAAAAAATGCAGTGCCATAAAATTCATCCCCAAACGTAAAATAAAGTTTTGATCATGTTCTCTTGTTTTGCAGCTCACACTTACCTTCTATATGTGTCAGAGTGTTCCTTGGCCTCAAAAGGAGGGACTCCATAAAGAAACTCATAGCATAACACGCCAAGGCTCCAGATATCTACACTAGCATCATGCTCTACATTTTCAACTGTGGAGAACATCAAAAGTAAGGCAAAACTTAGTTTTCTCTTATACTTCTTCAGGTACCTATGAAGTTATATTTTATGACACAAATGGATATTGTTTGAACTTAGAACTGCTTGATAAAGAACAAATTAAACCAGTAATAAAATGAAAACTGCTGTAGCATTACAGTGAATCCCTAGTTTCAATGGTTTACTACATACCCATTTCAGGGGGAAGATAATCAAGTGTACCACACATAGTCCGCCTGCGGTTAAATGTGTGCACTGACCATCCAAAATCTGCAATCTTGAGTTCACCCTGACAAATCCCAATTGAGAAGATAAGCGCTACAAGACTTCCATTGAATAAACTAAACAACAAGTACAGCCATTGATTAGGAATTACCTGTGCACCAATTAACAGGTTCTCAGGTTTGATGTCTCTGTGTATTACATGCTTTCCATGACAATAAATGAGTGCCCGAGCTAATGATGCAACATACTGCAACACGCAACATAGGCATACAAACCATAACGTCTAATTAGTATATTTGTCAATTTAGATACAAATATAAATTCAATTAAGCATTACAAACTATCAGACGAATCTATTGGCACAAAAAGAAAAAGAACTTACAGTAGCTGCACGCCTTTCACTGAAGTATTTACACTTCTGGAGTTCCTTGTATAGCTCACCCTTGGCTGCATACTCCAGTATTAGATAAACACGTTTCTGCAACAGTTGTATTCAGAATAAGACATGTCAATTCACCCAGCAAAAATTCAATTATCCACATGCATCAAAACACCAATATAGAATCTAAAAGGCAAATACCTGATCATAGAAATAACCATAAAGCCTCAATATATTGGGATGGCGCAGGTGACTTTGTATTTCCACTTCACGACGTAGCTGATGTTCTACTTGAGACTGTTGCAATTGGCTTTTAAAAAGCACCTTGAGTGCCACGATATGATTGCTCTGTTTCAAAGGTACATATGCATCAGCTTAATACAATAATTACAGATAATGATAATTATAAGAGCATGTCAGCGTTAGATATGTCTGTTCTATTTTAACCGGATAATGAACAAACACTTATTTTCATCAAATTTCCTCATCATTCTTAACAAACAAAAGAGCAAAAAGAAAAAATTTAAACAAAAAGATGAATGAAACGAACCCTCTTTTCTCTAGCCAAATAAACGTGACCAAACTTTCCTCGTCCAAGAGGCTTCCCAATGTCAAAATCGCTAAGTGTCCATCTTTTCTTTTCAGCTGCCGAAGCCTCTGAAGAAACCTGTGCAATGAATATACACAAATTAAAATATATATAGCAAAATCCCCAACATTATCTCAAAATAAAATCCCCAAATCATTCACGTTCCCAATTCTTCAAATTCCGCTTAACCCTACATATCAAATGGTACGGAAACTAGACAAAAATATTTGTTAATATTCCCAAATCTGCCAATTAAACCCTATAAATCGGTACTGTTCGCGAATTGAAACGCTTTATATGGAGAAAACCCTTCTCAAAATCTTCATTCCTCTATAAAAGAAAAAAAAACTGAGATTTGGCCTTTGCTTGGTTCTTGAGGATGAAAAAGAAAAAAAAAAGCTACTATTTTCCCAAGAACAACAACGAAAACAAAAAGGGAAAAAAATATCTTCACCTTCTCTTGTTGTTGCGGGTGGGTCTCGGCGATCGCCATTTTTTTGAGACAGGAAAAATAAAAAGACCAAGTTTTTTGGGGGGAGAGAGAGGGAAAGGGTGAGGGGAGAGGCCGAGAGAGAAACAAACTGACGAGTTATTATATTTCGATGGAGAAGAAAGAGAGAAAGACAAAAATAAAAAAAATAGAGGGGTTAGGGAGGGGTCCGGCGAACCCCACTCGCAACGGTCGAATCAGTAGGGTCTGCCACGTGTAACGCTTTTTCAAAATTTGCCTTTTTTGAGATCCGAAGGAGCGTCTCTTCTTGAGAGAGACGAGGCTAGAGTCACATCGGCCGTCACGTTGACTGGTTCCTGTCTCAAGGATGTTAGGTTTGTGTATTTCAAGTCATGGACGTCAGGCCCTAATGAGAGAGGGCTAAAGTCACTTGGAGACTGGATCCTACTAAATGCTTTGGCCCATGGACAATTGAGGCAAAGAATTTTGCCCAATCTGAACTCGAAAATGTCTTAGCCCAATGACTTAACCATAAAAACTGTAGTAGCTAAGTTGATAATGGATCCGAAAATTTGTCCTTAAAATGGATGGTCCGACTCCGTTGGTATACGCGACTGATTCCGTCTATATTCTCTTCCCTTTCTACTTTCTAGCTCTAGTCTCTACAAAGCACAATGCCTAGGATCCGTTACTAAAGAAGCTGACCCGAGCCCCTTGCACGCGTCACATCCTCGTGGACTCGCGCCCATGCAAAGCTGCTCAACCACACACGCGCCAGACCCAACCAAACCCACCCCTTACACTCTCTTCAAGAGAGTAACAGTTAGTTACGCTCAGCACTACACACATCACGAGGAGAGCACAGCTCCACCTCCCGCCACGTATTCCTTCCCCCACCTCGTTATAATGCCACCGTTGCCCTCTCTTCAGTTCGGCAACCCTCTTCCATTTTCTCACTTGAAATTTCATTGCCATTTTTCACTAAACACTATTATCAGACCGAGGGCCGTTCATCATGTCGAATGATCAAAACAAGCCGATGACTCAGAAGCTCTATGAGTCAGCTCCATCTTCCTGCCAGGCGGCCAAGTTTTTGACTGCAACCACACTGGGTGCAACGCTGCTATTCTTGTCAGGGTTAACTTGACCGGGACAGTGATGGCCCTGATAATGGCCACCCCGCTCATGGTCATTTTCAGCCCAATTCTCGTCCCGGCTGGGATAGTCATTTTCTTGGTGATTACCGGGTTCTTGTTTTCCGGTGGGTGTGGGGTGGCGGGGATCACGGCGTTATCGTGGATATATAATTACGTGCAAGGGAAGCATCCACCAGGAGCGGATCAGCTGGATTATGCAAGAAATACGCTTGCGAGGACGGCTAGGGACATGACGGAGAAGGCTAAGGGTTATGGACAATATGTGCAGCACAAGGCTCAGGAGGCTGCTCAAGGATCTTGAATAAGAGTGTTTAGCTTAGGGCTTGGATTGGGTTGAGGTCTGTTGGTTCTGTAAGGTGGTGGTGGTGTTGTGTCTTGCTTGTTTGTTTCCGTCAAATTTGCATGCATGCAGTGTAGATCATGTGTTTTTGGGCTTAGTAATTGTAACAGTTGCTTTAGTTTGGTTCTCTTTGTAGCTTCGAAAATCTCGTTTCTCTGTTAATAGGTTTTTCTTTGTCTTAAAAGTGTAGAAGGCAGAGTTGAGATTGGAATCTATCAAATATCGAATTATTTGATCGGTTTGGTTTTGATTTTCGAAAAAAAATAAAATTTTACTTTTATTTTTGTAAATTATAATATTAAAATTATAGACTTCAATCTAGAATAAAAATTAATAATAAAAATATATATTTTATATAAATTAAAAAATAATTTTATATAATATATATTAATTTGATTTTTTGTCAATTCGATTTAAAAATTTTAAAATTGAAAGTTGATTAAATAAATTAACTGAATTAAAAATTTTGAATTAATAGACTTAATGAACTAATTGAACCTAACAATTTTACTCTTTGATTGAAATTTTACTTTTTAATTGAATCACTAATTTTATTCACTCTGGACTTGTAGATCAGCGATTCGGTACTTGTCTTTATTGGGCATCTGGCCATCAAGCTGATAGGCGTTGGCCAAACCACCATCTGGTTCAAGCTTTTTGTGGGTTTAATTACGAGCCCACGTCCATGAAATCTGGGTCCCAAAAAGCCCGCACGTCCTATTCCCTGGTTTAAAGTGATTTCGTCTCAGGGAAAAGAACTATACAATCATACCCCTCAACAAACATAAACAGGTGACAAAGATTTGCTGCATTTGAGCATCAGTAAGGCAGATGTTCGACATTTCCAAAGGTTGCTAGAGCTACATTTCTGAAAATTTTGTTACAGAAACACCTCTCCTTACATAACAATTAAAACATGCTCCACAGTACGAAAATGGTGGCAATGATAATCCATTACTCCTCATCCTAAGACAAGTCTCAGGACTGCTTGGCAACATTTTGACCAACAAGCAGATATGATGGAAGATAACGAGGAACAACCAATGCCAATCCTAAACACAGCAAGGCAAAGACTACAACCCACCAAGCTTTGTAAGGGATGCCCAACAATAGTTCATCGCAAACTGAAAAGTGAAAAATTTTAAGTTATCAGTCAATACCGAAAAAACCTGAGCTCCTGGGGAAACAAGGTAATATGAAACTCCTTTTTCTCCTAAGAACGATAAGTCAAAAGGGGATACAAATGAGTATTGCATGAGAAGCAAAGCAAACCAAAAGAAGCTGTTAGAAGAAAGAAATCTAAGTCTAACTAGCTAACAGTATTGCATTATAATTCTACTTAGATAATTTGTATAATGATCTTAACAGAAGTGAAATGGTAAAATCAGATCAGAATCATCATTTTGCATTTCAAGAAGGCAACGCTACAAAAGGGAAGGGCTTGAATCATCACTTCAAAAATAGGGAAAGTAAGGAAATAGTTGGTCCACCAATATTAAAGATGATGAACTCTCTCTCCTTTGTGTTGGGTATTGCAACAAAACCTTCAGGTTCCACAGTCACCAAAACGTGCAACCCACCCTGAGCAAAAATGAACTTCTATATTACTACCTTTCACTTAAGGTAGAAAATGATGCATCAAAAAAAAAAAGTTTAAGCAGCATAACCAAAACCTGATCATTAATCATGTCAAGACTATCAGTCTTGAATATCAACTTCTCTGTATTCAACAGTATTCTGTTCCCTTTTAACCCAGAATCTGAACTCCCCTTCTTCAGTTGCAAGGAAAAACTCGCAGGGATCTGATATTGCAACAAAAGCAAAGATCAGTTTTTATGGAAATGAAAATGCCACAAAGAGGCAGATCACAGAAAAGAAATTACATACAGAAGCTGGATACGATATCTTCACTTCGTACCAAGTTAATGATTTGAGCCCTTGTAGTTGGTAAACTCGAGAACCCATTCGTAAAGGTAAAGTTTCCTTCTTTAGCTCCTCCCCAACATTCAAAACGCTGCCGTCAAGCCTGCAAAATCCAAAGCGAAGACTTTCATTCGTTCCCAAGAGAAAGATGACAAGGAAGTAATTGACACAAAAATCCATCTTTTACAAGGTTACTTACATTTCTCCATGACTGAAAATTGAGCTGCTGATAATGAAGATTAAAACATAGAGAAGAATCAATGAATTGAACTCATTTGAATGAAGCATTCTAGATAAGAAGAAAGTCCGCCGCCACCTCAAGCTCTTGAATCTAGTAAAGTCACATGGTTCGGTTAGTCTATCCCTATCTTTTTCCCCACAAATTACAAGCTTTTTTGAAACTAAAATTGAAAACCATTCGATGACGCAAAGCCTTTCAAGCCCGCCAAATGTTCGTCAAAATAAGTTAATTCAAAGGGCTTACTTCGATTTCTCGTCAAAACTGAACAAACAAATTCCACAAAAATCCAACCTTTTTAAAAATCGTACGCTGTTTTACTCGGAATCTATAGCATTCACAACACTTACCAGAATCCGACGCTCTGATCGGGTCAGTTTGAATCTGGCTGCTTTCGTCACAGCAGTGCAATCTAATTGAGGAAAGTCATTCTGTTCCCGGGGCTCTGGCACGACACCGTTTTAAATGTCATGTCTTTGGCGTTGGGCCTGGTATAACTAAAAACTACGTGCCCTTTTATTTATTTCTAGTAGAAAAGTGAAAGAATATTTAACAAGTCTCATCACCTGAAAAGCAAAGCCCTGAACAACTAAACAGGATGGTAAGATTTGAACCCGCCTAAATCTGAAGCAAGCAAAAAAATACAATACCAACGACTAGTCTCCTTAGGGCAGCATTCGCATGAGGAAGTAAACACGATGGTACGATGATTGTTTGGTTCTTTAATCTTTTCTTGACTGGTATCAGATTGCAAAGGGAAAGGAGTGAATTTTCCTGTTTATTATTGTTTTTATTTTAAATTTCCTTCTTTTTTTTTGTGTTTCAGTTCTCAATCGCAGCAATTAACGATACGGATTCCAGAGGTCAATGGGAACCCTTAGCTCCTACTAAAGAAGCCCAGGCACGCTCCTTTTATTTATCTAACATAAGCGTGATATTGAATTTAGAGTAAAAATTTTGTTTCGAATTGCTTTTTTTTTTCATTGTTGTCTTTCTTTGTTGAATATCTGAGGTTTTTCCCTTTGGGGGGTTTTTTTGTTGTATTGGTTTCGATATTTGAGAGTGAAGAAATCTATGTTTTAAAAGACTACCCAAATTTGGTTCTATTTTTTGCCTTGTTATTTCAAAGTATAAAAATTTAATTTCTTTTATGGTTTATTGCAGGAGTTCCATCTCACACAAGCTTACCATGATGGGCTTCTCAAGTTACAGGCTAAAGAGTACGAAAAGGCTCGCGAACTGTTAGAATCCGTTCTGAAGGATCCTCTTATTTCAAACGCTCAAGTATCTGCTTTGTTCCATGAAGAAGATTTTAGTTGCAACTGCTTTAATTTTTTTTTTTTGAGTAGTTTAGTAATTACTTTTATTTTTAAATATATTCAGGTGGATAGCAATAATACCGATGGTCATCTGTTACAACTCAAGTTAAGAGCTGTCTTCTCATCTATATCTTACTTATTTTTTAAATAGTTTGCTTATGTAGTTTTCATTCTTTGACTCTGCTAATATGCGACTACTTTTGTTTTATTGCACCTTAGAATGGAAAGCCATGAAGCGCCAACAAGTTAATCCCCATTTCCTACCTAAAATCAAGTTGAAATAGAGTAGCGAATGTAATGTCAGCTGACTGTAGAGTTAGGTGATATGCACGATAAGTACAATGTTTTGTTAAGTCTTTGTTGTTGGTTACTCTATGTAAATTGTGTCTTCCCTATAAGTGTCTGCAAAGGTTTCATTCTATAAACCATTGGTAAAGTCATGTGCTGCTCTGGTTTGATTGAATTTGCTGTGATTTAGATTTATCTGCTTAGTTTACCAAATAAATGTATTTAAGTATGACATCTTATTCTTGTAAGCATATTTGTCAATGTTTTTCATATAGTTCTCTGCAGATTTTTGGCACTGAAGAACCTTGCCGCTGTTTTCCTTCAACAAGGTTCAAGTCATTATGAGAGTGCTTTGCGTTGTTATCTTCAAGCTGTGGAGATTGATAATAAAGATTCGGTTGTCTGGAACCAGCTGGGAACTCTGTCATGCTCAATGGGTTCATTGAGTATTTCACGATGGGCGTTTGAGCAGGGACTTTTGTGCAGTCCTAACAATTGTGAGCATTTGTCTGCTTCAGTTGTATCATGTATTTATTTCTCTCGTTGTGTTCTGTGCGCTATATTTTCATGATGCATACAACCATATATTGTGTGGCAGGGAATTGCATGGAGAAACTGTTGGAAGTTCTCATTGCCATTGGTGATGAAGTTGCATGCCTTTCTGTTTCAGAGTTGATTTTGAGGCATTGGCCATTGCATTCTCGTGCCTTGCATGTCAAAAATACTATTGAGGAGTCAGAATTAGTTCCTTTTGCTCCTAGAGGTATAGATAAGCTAGAACCTAAACATGTTCGTCTTAAATTTCATGACAAGAGAAAAGCACCTGATGAGAATCTAGATGAGGGCAGTGCACTAAAAAAGCTGAACCAGAACATAGATTTGCAACTTACAGAAGCTTCCTGGGCTGCTCTCGCTGATGCACTCCTGGGAATATTGCTACCACTGAATGGTTGTGGTTCTGACATGGAGACTGGAAATTTGCAAAGATCTGGGGATGTCAGGTTAAGGATACTCATCCCTCCTAGTTCCGAAATTGTTATGGAGAGTATGGAAAAGAAAGTGCCTACTTCAGCTTCAAGTGGTGAAAGTCTTCCTCCTAGTGATTGTGACACTGAAAGAGCAAGCAACTTGAAAGAAAAAGAATCAAATTTTGTGGAAGAACAACCACAGGAGAGGCGGAGTACTCGTCTTGAAAGGCTTAGGAGTCGTAAACCTGGCAAAGAAGAAATAGATTTTGCTGCCGGTAAGGATTTGGCCAAGATTGTGCTTCAATTGCTTGAACCTTTTGTCATCAGTAGACCAGAAGGCAAAGATTCTGATGATGTTGTTAATTGTTCTATCTCATATGCTGATCAAGCTTATTCCTTGGATATGGAATGTCAAGAAGTTGCTAATTTTGTGACAGAAAGTTCAAAAAATTACGGTGCTTACCATTTGGGTCACTTGCTTTTGGAACATGCCACAAATAAAAGCCTTGTGCATCCAGATGCACATGTCAAATTCCTTGAGTTGGAGAAGTTGACAAGGCATTGGGGGCAGGATAGGACTCCTGAATGTAGTCTTTTTCTTGCTGAGTTGTACTACAACATTGGGTCTTCTCCTTCCAATTCCTCCAATCTATCTGAATTCTTATCGGAGGCATCCTACCATCTATGTAAAATAATTGAATCAGTCGCATTAGATCATCCTTTTCATATGACTTCTTCATTTGGCAATGAAAATTGCACTTCATTTAAGAATTTTCTTGGCACTGATGGAATATCACCCAATAACTCTTTTTGTGAAAGTTCACATTTAGATAGTTTCTTGTCATCCAACAAAAGTCCCTTCTGGGTTCGTTACTTCTGGTTGAGTGGACAGTTGTCTGTTCTGGATGGCAACAAGGCAAAAGCTTATGATGAATTCTGCATTTCCTTGTCAATTTTGGCGAAGAAGGAAGATGCAAACAATCCTTTATGCTTGGTGCAGCTGCCACATTGTAAGAATATTAAAGAGTTAACTGTTGAGAGGATTCTTCATGAAATAAATTTATTAAAGGTTGATTTCTTGTTGGATAAGACTTTAGGTGAGATGATTGAGAAAGAGATGTATCTGGAATGTGTAACTTTGCTTGCTCCTCTTCTTTTTTCTGCCAATTATGTATCATATTTACTGGCTGCTGACCAAAAGGGCGAGGGGATTACATCTGTTGAACTGTCAGCATTAGATATATTAATTAAAGCTTGTCAGAAGATAAAGCCAATGGATATTGAGGTGTATGTGAATTGTCACAGACGAAAGCTTCAACTACTTACAGCATTAGCTGGCATGGATCAATGCATTGCTCTTTGTAAACGCTTTCCTCAGAAGTCAGGGTTAAAAATGCTTTCTGGTTCTGAGATGGTATCAAGAGACAGTTCAAGCAAGCACTGGGATCACTTGGTTGCAGAGGAAGTGAAGGCAATTTCACAATGTGTGTCACAAGTGAAAAACTTCAATGATCAATCTGGAGATTCTGTAAGTAATTTCTTTTCCCCAGCCGAAATGCTTTTTAAAATTGTAGTCTAGATAAAAGTATTAGTTACTCTGGAATTCACTTAAGATGCATGAATGTGTGCTAATAGGATTGATGAGTGCATTCTTTATTGGACAAATTTATCAGATCTTAAATGATCGTAGTTCTATGATATTTTTAAAACATATCCTTGCTGTTTTAGACTCCATGGTTAATATTTAAATTGGAAATATATCCATTTTTATCTCCCCATATTGCATCTTTACTTCTTATTAGCTATGCTTGCAGAGTGGCACTGTTTTAGTTGGCATCATTAGTGACATTCAATCACTGCTTCTGGCAATCATGTACAACATTGCAAACAACATCCTTTGCAAGAAATCTTCTATGCCAGTAATTGTTGATCACCTGGAACAAAAGCAAAGTAATTGCTTCATTGATGCAGCCATTGCTTTTTGCAAGCTTCAACATCTTGACCCTTCTGTAACTATTAAAACCCAGGTGAACTTTACATTAGTTCTATCAAGAAGAAATTAGCAATTCACTCAGTGATCTATTGAATAATCTTTTTCTCACAGCATTTGTGTGCAAATGTATATTTTCTTTAAGTTCTTTTCTCTGACTTCTTGTCTTAGGTTGAATTAATCGTGGCAATTCATGACTTGCTTGCTGAATATGGGCTTTGCTGTGCGGGTGAAGGTGGTGAAGGGGAGGAAGGAACTTTTCTTAAATTTGCAATAAAGCATCTCTTGGCGTTGGACATGAAGCTAAAATCCAGCTTTAACTCTTCAAACAGTGAGAATAGTCCACATGACGGGCAGCCAAACCATGATAATGATGCCAAAACATCGCAAAATGAAATAAGTTCAGATAAGCTAGATGTGGAAATGGGTAGAACTGAAAACTCTGAATCCATTACTGCGATGAAGGATGATATTGAAGGGATTGCTTCTAAAGCAGCTCCATCTTGTTCTGGTGAAGAGGACAATACAACAGCTCATGAAAAGCAGTGCAGCAATGATGAGAAAATTAACCTTGGAGAAAAAAGTGGTGATCAGCTTGATGAATGTGCCGATGAGCTTACAGAAGATGAAAAGGAGGAACTTGAACTAATGATTGATAATGCTTTGGATCAGTGCTTTTTCTGCTTATATGGTCTAAAACTTAGATCTGACTCATCCTATGATGATGAACTGGCTGTGCACAAAAATACTAGTCGTGGTGATTATCAAACTAAGGAACAATGTGCTGATGTATTCCAATACATTCTTCCTTCTGCCAAGGCTTCCTCTGTTAGTAGACTTTCTCTCTTCAAACACACACACACACACACACACACACACACATACGCATGCAACATTGACGCTAACATGAATATAATGGTACCTGTGCATACATACCGAAGAGGAGCCTTTTTTTTTTTCATTTTAAATTGTGCTGATTGCAACTTAGCTCAATGACATTATTTTACATTCAGAGAACTGGATTGGTCAAACTTCGCAGAGTGCTAAGAACCATACGTAAACACTTTCCGCAGTCACCAGAAGATATTTTGGCTGGCAATATAATAGATAAGTTTTTAGATGATCCTGATTTATGTGAGGACAAACTGTCAGAGATGGCTGGATCTGAAGGTTATCTTGAGACCATAACAAAGATGCTTTTTCCCAATGGAGGAAGCCTCAAACAGTACAAGGCATCATCATTTCGAAGGTACATATTTGTGTTGTTCTGCTAGTATGTTAACTGCTTGTTTGTTTCTTCATTAATGGTTAAAGATGCATGTTGTTACTTCTTTACCGTTGCTATCTGTGTGTGTAAATATGGGTCAACTGTATGCAGCTCTGAGCCATATTTGGAGGTCTATAGCAATTTGTATTATTTCCTGGCACAGTCAGAAGAAATGAATGCAACTGATAAATGGCCTGGCTTTGTGCTCACCAAGGAAGGGGAAGAATTTGTTCAGCAGAATGCAAATCTCTTCAAATATGATCTACTCTATAACCCTCTACGCTTTGAGAGTTGGCAACGTCTTGCTAATATTTATGATGAGGCAAGATTTACTCTTGTTTATCATTTTAATAATGGATGATGTACATACCATTAAAACTTTATTGTTATTTGGTTTTTATATTTTCCTGGCAAGGGATCATTTTCTTTACAAAATTCTCTTGGGCTTCCTTTAAATAGGAGGTGGACTTGCTGCTAAATGATGGGAGTAAGCACATAAATGTATCAGGGTGGAGGAAAAATACTACTTTGCCTCAGAGAGTTGAGACAAGTAGGAGGAGGAGCAGGCGTTGTCTATTGATAAGTTTGGCTTTGGCAAAGACATCAGCACAGCAGGTTTTGCCCTATTCCATTGATTCATATGCATGCTGGACTCTAGTTTGGATTTTGTTGATCATTTTCAGACAAATATGCTTTTTACAGCCCTTATATTAGTCATTAAATGTAATTTTTCAAACCTGTATGCAACAGCAGATTTTAACATATGAGTTAGTAAGAAGGGATGGAACAAGAGATAAGTCCCACTGAGAGCATATGCAATGTGCTATCACTCAACTCTATGCACTGTGAATGTTGGATGATTTCAAGATTTAGTTCCCTTTTTCTTGGAAGGTTCCTTGATACAAGTAAAATGCTGGGGACATTCATCTAATATGAGGTTTAAAAGAGTTCAATAGTGATAATGAGAATAAAACTGTGACTTGGATGCCCTTCAGTAGAGGCTTTACCGGTTATATTTATATAATTTCTGTGGTAGTTATAAAATCTAGACGTTGGTTTTATTATTAATATTTGTAGCAAATTGTTGCTAACTATTGTGTAACTTTGCATGATCTTAGTGCGAGATACATGAGCTATTGGCATTGGTATACTATGACAGCCTTCAGAACGTTGTCCCATTTTTTGATCAGCGATCTATCGTGCCCTCAAGGGATGCAGCTTGGAGGATGTACTGTGAGAACTCTTTAAGGCATTTTAAAAAAGCCTTCATGCACAAGTATTATTGCTTTTCTGAATCCCTACCCTTCCACTTTCTGTCTCACTCTTGATATTTAAGATTCTAAGATGTATAAATTCAGCTGACTCCATTATGTTATAGGCAGGATTGGTCACATGCATTCTACATAGGAAAGCTGTGTCAAAAGCTTGGATACTCACATGAGACATCATTATCTTATTATGATAAGGCCATTGCGTTGAATCCATCAGCTGTCGATCCTTTCTACAGGATGCATGCTTCGCGGCTGAAGCTGCTCTGGACCTGTGGAAAAGAAAATCTTGAAGTTTTAAAGGTTTCTTTCATCCCCTCCACCCTCCCCTCCTCTGAGCAAGTAACATTATTGTCATTTGACTCTTTTTTTTCCCCTGTTGTGGCTTCTTTATCTTGAATCACTTATCATTTGATAGTATACCATTTTGTAGTTTCTGGACTTGTACAAGTTGTCTAGTTTACCAGATAACAATTCTTGAGTTTCAACCATCATTGACTGTGTCCAGGTTCTTTCAATGTATTCTTTCGCTGAATCTGTGAAGGATGCTGTAATGGGCATTATCAGGGGAATGACTCCTGAAACTTCACTTTTGGAAGAAGATGTAACGGACAAAAGCTGTAAAAAAAATATGGAGGAAAAACATCATGATGAATCAGAGCAAATGGAGGTGTGGACAATGCTTTACAATGATTGTCTTTCTGCCCTGGAAATTTGTGTTGGAGGAGATCTGAAACATTTTCATAAGGCCAGATTTATGCTTGCTCAAGGGTTACATAAGAAGGGGGGAAGGGTTGATTTGCAGAAAGCCAAAGACGAACTTTCTTTTTGCTTCAAATCATCTCGCTCGTCCTTTACAATAAATATGTGGGAGATTGATGGCATGGTCAAAAAAGGAAAGTATGGCTGCAATCTGTATTTCAATTCCAAGCTATTAGATTTATAGCGTCCTGTTTGACATGCAGTCTTAACCTAGAAATAAAGTGGTTCATTATGAATTGATGAATGTTGATAATGCATTGGTTCCCTTTGGTTCAAATTCTGAATATGGTGTCCTTTCGTTCCGTTGTTAAGACATTCATGTCATCAATAATGCATTTCATGGAAGTGGCTTGTTGCCTCTTACATATGGATCTAATCAAGTTTTTTTTTTTTGAAAAAAAATCAGGCGCAAAACACCAGGTTTTGCTGGGAACAAGAAGGCCCTTGAAGTCAACTTACCAGAGAGTTCTCGAAAATTTATAACTTGCATCCGGAAATACTTGTTGTTTTATCTGAAACTGTTGGAAGAAACTGGAGACATCTGTACTCTTGACCGGGCTTATGTCTCCCTTCGGTCAGATAAGAGGGTAACAAATCAATCCTTTAGAAACTAGCTTTGATTTGTTGCATTTTGTCCAGAACCTAACTCCTATCAGCCAATGCATGTACATTTAACAAGATTTAGGAGATGACATAAACAGTTTCTAGTATCATTTCCCACTAGAGCCCACCTATCCTACCGGCACATATACACACTCTTTAAGAAAGGAAAAAAAGAAAGAAGAATGAAGATTCTTGTATGATCGGTATATTTGCAGTAATTTATTTTGTGTTGATCACATGTTATTATTGTCAAAGTCATATGCCTTATCCATCTGTTTCATTTAATACTATTTGTTATCT